CCATCAAGTGGAAAATTAATAACCAAGATGCTGTTGCCTATAATCTCTCTTTAATCAGTGAAATGTACATCCATTCATTCTTGTATTCATTGGTTCCAACAAGCCCTTTCATCTGCTAGGATTCCCCCTCCCTTGCCAAACTGCTTAGACTGAGTCACCATCTGGTTTCTTCAAATTATTTTTCCATCCTATATAGAAAGTATTTTCCCATTATCAACTTTGTCAGGGCCGTGTACCCAAGGCTCAAACAGCAATGGATATTAGGAAAGAGATATGGAAAATGTGCTTCAGATAATATGGGACAAGGGGGATAAAAGTGCAGCCCTGACCTAATCTCATAGTTCATACAAGATGACCATTGCTGTGCTCAACCAGTTGTCCCTTTCCTTCCCCACCCAGCTCACCCTAGACTACAGTTGTATAATGAAAATATATTGTGTGGCTATTCCCTCCCCCCCCACAGGTGGAATAAATAAAGACAACGGACACAGCGTTTTAGGTTAATGGGCGAAAATGGCCACAACTTTATTGATTACAGGAAATGAAGGGTATTGGCTTTAGGCATTGGCCCCTAACCGACTATCCGGTCTGACCGGGAAGGGTTAAACACCAACAGGGGAGCCACCCGAGATGCGTATCCCTAGGCGCTCCCCGAGGGTTACCGCTCGGGGCGCGCTTTAGGCCCCTAGCCTCCGTAGGTTTCGGACGAGCGTCGCCCCTCGGAGTCCTTTAACGAACTACCCTTCAAGCATTGGGGGAGGTGATGGCGTTCCTCCCCCCCAACCTCATCTGCATGACAATACCCCGGCCAATGCCTACCGCCAAAACCGAGGGAGTTGTGACGATTTGCTACGAGGTAGGCGAAAAACCAAGTGGCTCACAAAACCAGCCAATTAGCCAAATGGAAAAACTCCTACCAGGCCCCTTGCGGCGACCAGCCGAAGCCCATAGCAATGTCAGTGGCAAAACCTAAAGGGCGGGTGGGTGGGAAACCGCGTCGTCTCCAGGGTGAAAAGGGGCAAGCCAGGGCTTCCCCGACCTTAAGTGGCCTTTCTAAGGCCCGCCCCTGCTGCCAGCCAATTGGCTGGCGCCACAGGGGATGCTAATTGGGGGACTCTCTGCCTCCCGCGGGGCTGGGGCCCGCGGCGGGCGAGCGGGAGTGGGCGGGGTCGTGATCCCACAGCCCCCCTCCTCCTGACGATCGGAAGGGGCATTGTGTGGCTATTCCCTCCCCCACAGGTGGAATAAATAAAGACAACGGACACAGCGTTTTAGGTTAATGGGCGAAAATGGCCACAACTTTATTGATTACAGGAAATGAAGGGTATTGGCTTTAGGCATTGGCCCCTAACCGACTATCCGGTCTGACCGGGAAGGGTTAAACACCAACAGGGGAGCCACCCGAGATGCGTATCCCTAGGCGCTCCCCGAGGGGTTACCGCTCGGGGCGCGCTTTAGGCCCTAGCCTCCGTAGGTTTCGGACGAGGCGTCGCCCCTCGGAGTCCTTTAACGAACTACCCTTCAAGCATTGGGGGAGGTGATGGCGTTCCTCCCCCCCAACCTCATCTGCATGACAATACCCCGGCCAATGCCTACCGCCACCGAGCCGCAAGCCGGCTCGCCGCCAATACCCTCAGACCTGTAACCAATCCCTAACACCTTGAAAAATATCAGCCAACCAAATATCATTTCCCGCATCAGATAGATGCACGCCATCCCAGCGATAGAGCATTTCCTTGTCAAACCGTATGCGTGGGTGCTGAATGACCCGACCACCCCATGCGGCCACTCTACGTGCCACCATGCGCTCCACAATCCTTCTAGCTTTATTCACAGCCACGGGTTTCTCTGCATCCCGCCAACATCGCCTTTCCAGCAAAGATGACCAAATTATTGTAATGTTTTCATGGGATGCCCTCAACAATTCCAAGTCGTTGATGATGTTCCACATCAAGTTCACCCCTTTCCTATACGCCAAATCGTTCTCGCCCAGCTGGATGACCAAGGCACTGGGTGGGCCCTCGGCAGCGATTTTTTTGGATACAACTGGGAAAAACTCTTCCCAACGCATACCCCTCCTAGAGATCCACGATAGTTTGACCCAGCTGGGTAGCCGTAGCTCTTCAACCCAGCCCCTTTGTTCGGCGCGCCGCTTTGCCCAATATACGATGCTGTGGCCAAGGATCCACAGTCGAACCACACCAGTACCTGAAAAGAGAGAATCGGAGAACCGGATCAGGAGGAGTGCCCGGGGAAAGCTGAGGGGAATTTAGAAGGTCTACCGAATATAACCCTGGAATGCGTTGGATTTCCAGCGCCCCATGTCCATAATTCTTTCAGCCGGTAAGCCCATATGGGCGGCGGTGGTCGCCGCCCCAATGCGAAAGGAGTGCGCGGCGTACTCCTCTTGGGGAAGCCCGATGGCGGCAATTGCTTTGCGCATGACCCTCGTGAACTGCTGCTTTGAGAGGGAGGAACCGTCGGAATGCAAGAAAAAGGGGCCACTAGGTTCTGGTCTTACACACAGGTATTTTCTAGCATCCTTTACAGGGCAAGGGCCCGCCTTTTGAGTCGCCTGGAGGCGAACCAAGGCTCCCTTGCCAAGCTGATCAGTCTTCGAACTACGGATTCTTAACATTACATGCGCCCTGTCTACAGTTACGTCCTCAAGTAGTAGCCCCCTGGACGCTGCGCGGTCCTCACAAACCACTTCGCCTATGCGTAGGGCGCCAAAAAATGCGAAAGAAAACGCTGCTGAAAATAACCTGGCTTCATATCTTGACCAACACAGGGCCCTCAGCTTCCTACGGATTTGGGTGAGTATATCTAAAGTTATTGGCCTTCTCCTGTCCCGGCCGTGAGGCCTGGACCTGCGCCAGCCCTCAAGCATCTTACGCACAACGAAATGCGAACAGGGATCCACAGAAAATAAAGTTTTAGAAAAGAAGGATATAGCTGCTGAATGAATATTGAGGGTTTTGGGGGCCCGGCCAAGATCTCTAAGGTGGACCATGTACTCTATGACTTCAGACTTGGACGGTGGCCTGCCTGGCTTGGACCGCCCCTTTTTGATGCGGAAGGATGTGAAGTCTAGCCACGCCTTATTATACGATCTCAGGGTAGAAGGCGCTAGCGCAGACAATACTCCCTTTATTGCTTCTCGTTGCCAATATTCCAGAGGTGCTCCGGGAATGGTTGCGGCTGCTGCTGCGCATCCGGCGCCAATGAGCGAAAGCGTTCCATCTGGAAACGAGATAGAGCATCCGCGATGTTATTATCAATACCAGGGACGAACTTGGCTGAAGCGTGAAGGTTCAATCGCAGGCAGGAGAGGACGAAGTACCGTAAAAGGGACGCTACTCTGGGTGAGCGTGACGATTGTTTATTCAAAACTGACACGACCGCTAGATTGTCCGTCCAAAAACAGACCCTATGGTTCTTGAACTGGTCTTCCCATAAGTGAATTGCAACCACGATGGGAAAGAATTCTAAGAATGTCAAGTCACGTAGTATCGGTTTACCTTGCCAGGAGGGAGGCCAGTGCTGGGCACACCACTGGCCCCTGAAGTAGACCCCAAAACCTAAGGACCCGGCCGCATCCGAATGTACCTGGAAATCAGACTGCAGCGCCAAACTATCCTGCCAAAGTGATATGCCATTGAAACCGTCCAGAAATTGCAACCAAACCAGGAGGTCCGCCTTCACTGCCTTGGGAATGCGTACCCTATGATGGGGTGACCGTAAGCCCGTGGACAGCTTTGCCAGGCGGCCGCAGAAAGGGCGACCGGGGGAAATACACGGCAGGCAAAGTTGAGGTGCCCCAAGAGGGATTGAATTTGTCTCAAGGTGACCTTCTTTAGGGGCAGCATTTGGCCGATAAGCTCTCTTAAGGCAACCACTTTTTCAGCCGGTAAGCGCGAGGTTTGAGCTACGGTGTCAAGTTCAATGCCCAGGTAGGTCATGGTAGTGACCGGACCCTCGGTCTTCTCACCTGCCAGGGGGACCCCCAGTTCCCTGGCTAAGGACTCGAAGGCTAGGAGGAGGGACCTACACTCCCCAGCGTCCCTTGCCACCAAAATAAAATCATCGAGATAATGACCCACCCCTAGAGCACCGGTTCTAAACTTTAGGGCCCATTCCAGGAATGTGCTGAAGGTCTCGAGACGCAGCACAGGCAATAGAACAACCCATGGGCATAGCTTTGTCAATGAAGTAAGCTCCCTGGAATTTGAAACCCAACCAGCGGTAGTCTTCCTGGTGAACCGGGAGTAGGCGAAATGCTGACTCGATGTCACATTTTGCCAAAAAGGCGCCCCTGCCAAAGCTCCGCACCAACCGCACAGCTTGATCGAATGAAGAATACTTCACCGTGCACATCTCTTGGGGAATGGCGTCGTTAACCGATGTTCCTTTGGGATAGGACAGGTTGTGTATCATTCTAAATTCACCGGGGGCCTTCTTTGGGACAATACCAAGCGGGGAGATATGAAGCCCCTCGATAGGCGGAGTTGCGAATGGACCGGCTACCCTGCCGGCTGTAATCTCCTTCTGTATCTTTTTAAGCGCGATGTCGGGCCTTTCTAAGACTGATTTCTGGTTAGGGGGGGAACTGGAATTGGGTGTAAAAGCAACCGGAATTCTAAAACCTTCAGAAAACCCTTCCTCCAGTAGGTGAGCTGCACGTCTATTTGGATAGAACTTCAAGAGTGCTCTCAATGGCTCCAATTTTATCGGAGAGCACGCGAGGCCTAGGGAGATGTTAGTAACGAGCCCCAGCTGGCCCTTGGGCGGGGGCTGCAGGTCCGGCGGAGCCACCCCTGTTTCCCGGGAGAGGTGACCCCTGCCCCCCCGAAAGGGCTGCTGCCTCCCTTTGAAGCAGTTGACTGCAGGGTGGCTGCCTAAGCACCTATCGCATTCGTGCAGGTACTTACAGGTAACGCGCTGACAGATACCCTTGTTGAAGTCCCAGCACTGCCTACGGCGTTGGGTCTCCACCTTACCAGCTTTTGGCTGATGAGCGGTTTTCTTCTCGATATTGGGCCCCACATGTTCGAACCAGCAATTGTTGTCCTTTTGGTCCCAGCGCGTTGAAGACAGCAGCGAGGCATTCCTCCGAAAGTCTTCATCATACGCCAAAGCAGCTTCATCTCCTGCCTGCTCCCGTGCCCTCCTGACGTGTGCCAGGTAGGACACGAGGTGCGCGCCCCTCTTAGGATAGCAACTTGACACCACAGCCATAAACACCTGATAGCCATTAAGCCAATTCTCAAACGTTCGCTCGACCCGGGGTACCCTGTACCTCCTTTTCCCATAGTACTTAATTTTTTTCCCCTTTTCCCTTGACCTGAGCTGGGGGCAGCAAGGAAAACATATCTACGTAATTGCCATTCAATATCTTGTTCCTCTTCCTCTTAGAGAGGTGGTTCCCCAGAATAAAGTCAGTGGCAGCGTTGGTTGAGACTTTAACGTCTGGGACCAGAGCCCCATCCTTCCAATCAAGCGTGCCATTAAATGCCTTCCTGTGTGAGTTGGCCCTCCGTTCATGCACCCACTGGGGGGCTCCAACGTCCTCCCCCTCCCCCCAATATGTCTCCATTGGAGTGTCACTATCCCCATCTGATGAAGAGGTACCTGTTTCCTCCTCAGAGTCCGAAGTGTCCCTCTTCTTGCTTTTCTTCGACCGGTGCTTCTTCTTCGCCTTCCGCTTTCCGCCCCGTGGTGCGTCGTCACGGGGGGCCGGGTCGCTGGCAGCGGCCACCTGCTGAGGGGGCAGCTCCTCCTCAGAAGATGACTCCTCCGAGGTGCTTGGTTGTCTAGGGTTATCCTGGAAAACACTGGGAACATCAATCACCTCCTGGCGCGGGGCTGATGTAGAGGCCACCGCCGGCCTGGCCTTTTGTGCGCTCGACCTAGGTTTTTTAGCTGGTGCCTTGCCTTTCAATGGACCTGACTTAGGTTTTTGAGTTTTAGCAGCTTGTAAGCGCGTCCGTGGCCTGCTGGGGGCCTGCTCAACCATGTTAGCTGCACTAGTGGAGGGACCATCCTGACCCTGCTGGCTGGGGGGGGTGTCTGGTATGCAATCTTGTGACACCTCAACGATGTTCGGTGAGGGAGTGATAGGTGCTCTGCACTGCGCGTAGAATGATTGCAGCGCGGAAAAGAGCTGGGCCACGACCTGCGGGTTACATGGGCCTGTTGGCATTAGGGCATTGCCACGCTGAGATTGTTGGGGGTTGCTGTTGCTCTCCATGACCAAGCTGAAAGCAGAGCCTCAGGGGGGTGGGCGCAAGACAAGTGTCTAATATATATATATATATATAAATATTAAATATTATATATATATATATATATTATTATTTATTATTATTTATTTATTTATTTATTTATTTATTTATTTATTTTATTTATTTATTTATTTATTTTAAACTTTATTTATTTATTTATTTATTTATGTATTATTTGTTTATTTATTTGCTTATATTCGTTTGTTTATTTATATATTTATTTATATCTATATGTATATGTGATTGCTTATTATGCTAAGTTGTAGCCCAGTAAACCAAAGGATAACACAGTAAATTATAAACTGCAGTGAAATAAACCAGAAAAACCTGCTCGCCACACCTAAAATGGCCGCCGGGGCCCTCTCGCCACAACTAAAATGGCCGCCGGAGCCTCTCGCCACACCTAAAATGGCCGCCGGGACTTTTCGCCACACCTAAGATGGCCGCCGGAGCCTCTCGCTACACCTAAAATAGCCGCTGGAGCCTCTCGCCACACCTAAAATGGCCGCCGCGGCTTCTCGCCACACCTAAAATGGCCGCCGGGGCCTCTCGCCACACCTAAAATGGCCGCCCGGACTTCTCGCCACACCTAAAATGGCCGCCGCTCAGCAAGCCACGTGGCTTTAAAATGGCGCCGGTCGCCTAGCAACGTGGCAACACAGGCTCCCACGTGTACTGCCTGTATTAAAAGCCAGGTGAGGGTAAACACAGAGGAAAAAATGCCCAGCAAAACCCTCGCAGCAGCAGATAGTACAAAAGTAACCCGTTTAAATTAAATTGCAAAATACCCAACGAAGCCCCCGCGGCAGCAGGAAACACACAAGTAACCCGTTTATAATAAATTGCAAAACACTCAGCAAAGCCCCCGCAGCAGCAGACAATCTTTTTTTTTTTTTTTTTTTTTTTTTATTTATACAAAATATATTCCGCCTTTTTCTAATAATCTAATATTGAACTTTTTAACACCATGTCTCCCATCCAATTTGAAACCACCTCAGACCCTGCTTAGCTTTGCAAATGTGCCAGCAGTTTTATTGCTGCACCACCAGGGGGACTACAGGAGAACCAGCTAAATTAACAAGCCATAAAGTAAGATACGACCTGCTGGAAGATACGAAGACTCCGCTTCAAGGAAACACAGTAAAGCCACGTGGGGAGGGTTGTAGCACTGAAAGGGAGGCTGCAGGGAGGCTGCAGGGCTCGATCAGCTGGCAGTCGGGGGCGTCGCTGCTAGCTCTCCTGCTGCATGGGGTTTTTTCCAGCGATGAAGGAGCCGGTGGTGAGTCACGCTGCTGAAGCAACCTAAGAGAATAAGCCCCCCGAGGAACCTGAGCGATTTCTGCCCAATAGCCTTGCTAAGCGCAGGAGGAAACTTCTCCTGTGGTGATTTCAGCTCGAGTAAAGGCTCCAGGTTCCACAAGGCTCCGAGGATTCCAGCGAGCGGAAGGATCACCTAAACCAAACCGCGTCGTCTCCAGGGTGAAAAGGGGCAAGCCAGGGCTTCCCCGACCTTAAGTGGCCTTTCTAAGGCCCGCCCCTGCCAGCCAATTGGCTGGCGCCACA